AGCCGATAAGGATTTACTACTGTCCCTCGAGCACATTGCCAAATATATTAATGGCACGGGTCATAAGATCAATATCCAATATGGCAGCCAATGCAATAGAACCGAACGTCAAGACAAAAATAATTACTCCATTTCTGCGCTAAACGAAAGTAAAAAATAGACAATTTAATAAAAACTTAACTAGTGAGCACCACTCTGCGAACTGTAGTTGTATAACTTGTTTATTTCTCCTACGCGTTTCGTGTGACTAACGCACACTTCATCAGGGAGTTTAACAATACAACACGAAGCGCCTTTATATATACCTAACTCATACTACAGTTTACATTTCGTAAGAGCACACCTACGGATATACAGATAGGAATGACAAACTCCGCGGTAATACGCCTAGGAAACAGGCTTTAAATTTCAGCAAGGTGTGACATATTTTATGCGTGATATAATTTTGGGGTCCACAGTTTTAGCTAAGATTGTGGGCCTCAAAAATTACTTACTTACAAAGATTAGTTAGTGTCACAGTTTTCTTGTAACATACTGTACAATGTAATTCTGGTAAGATAGTGCTAATAATACTCTTAATACGTGCGTGACTACAGTTGAAGGTAGTCTTGAAAACAATAGTCACACGGTCCTACCCAAGCTAGACTTATTCTAAGGTTTCTTGTAAAGTCATTTCTTTCTGTCACTATCGTATTTCACGAAACAATGTAAGCAGAAAGCTGAATGGATACCCCCTAACTCGTAGTCGCTTCCAGAACTTTTCCCTAGTTTCATAAAATGAATTAAAGGAACTGTTTCTAGCATACCTCATTAGTTCCCCTTTGATGAAGGCTTTCTTATTGCTAGAAGGGTGAAACGACTCGAACGGTATGAAAGATATTTTTTAAGAGGCTTTTGAAAGGTGGAAAATTGCAGCACGTTCAAAGAGGTATCTCTATAGAAAAACAAATTCAGAAAAGAAATGCTATTTTCGCTAATACAATATGTAAGTTTGATTCGATCAGTTTTGCTGTTGAGAGCGTTAAGAAATTCCAAGAGGGTACCTTTGGGCCCACACCAGAAAGCAAAGATGTCATCAATAAAACAATTGTACAGTTGTGATCAAGCGATGGCAGTCGCCCGTCTTTTTCAACTCATTTCAGCAAGAAAATTCCACGGTCCTCTAAATGAAGGTATCAACATGTTGGGTTACATATGTGTATGTTTTCTTAAGAAGTTAAAAGGACTAATGCAACATATGGTCGCAGAGGTGTGCCGAGCCTCCAAAGTTTTTCTAATGCGAAAAGAGCCTTTGTCGATGACGCTAGAATTGTTATTTAAATGGGCTGCGCCACAAGAGAATCCTAACAGTTTTGCTGTCCTCCCCTTCATCAATGGTGTTAGGCAACCACTATCAAGAATTCTTCGAAGGCACGACATTCAAGTTGTAAATAAGCCCTTCAAGACCTTGCAACAAGAATTTCCTTCTTCCAAATACAGACCATCTATTGAACATCAACCAAGCGTGATTTATGAAATACCCTGTGCCGATTGCGATTGGTGTTATGTAGGCGAAACCGGCCGGTGTTTTGAAACTCGTAAGAAAGAACATATCAGGAATGTAAAAACATGTGCTAATGGATCAAACATTGCGAAACATGCATGGTCATTCGACCATCGCATAGATTTTGATAATTCTAGCGTCATCGACAAAGGCTCTTTTCGCATCAGAAAAACTTTGGAGGCTTGGCACACCTCTGCGACCAAGCATGCTGACAATAATTCTAAGCCGATTCCAAACCAGTATAGTATTCTTTTTAAACAATAGTCACCTAATTTACATATTTTTACTTTGATTTTGTTCTACTTCTTATTTTTATCTCGCCTTTTCTTGCATATATTTTATCATTTTGCATTCCATTTTTTATCCGTCGAAGGCTGTAGATCGACAGCCGAAAGCTCATGTTCTTTTTCGAAAATTTTTAGCCAGCGAACGTTTTTATTGTAATTTTTATCATGTCTCGTCCTGGCTGCGCTTCAATCTTCAATCGTATTACGTCGAATTAATTTTCATAAATTGTTAATCAATAATTGAGCATTTTGTTAAATTGATACCGCTATAAAAGTATCAAGAGTTAACGTGTAGTAGTGATGGTCTATGAAGTAAAGGAATTAGAAAGTGCTGGCCGGGATCAGGTGTTAGCCACCCAAAGTGCATCATCGAAAAGAATTTTTTAAGTACAATCTTGTTTGTTTCGCGTGGTTAAAACTCAACGGTTCGGCTTCAGGTTGCACTAACGATTTTTTCAGTTATGCTTGGTGATTAAATGATCAGCTCCAAGAGTAAATTATAGTTGAAATACTGTAGACAAAATGTCTCGGTAAAGATTACCGTTTGAATAGTGTGATAAAACTCTGATTGCATGATTTGTAACTCAGAACAATCGAGATTAGTTGTTGCCGTTTCCTAATGCTGCAAACCATTTTAAGAAAAAAAAACGAATGCATGTTTTCTGCATTGTCGTAATTCGACACTGTTAAAGAGAGTTGCTGTATCAAATGATTTGTTTTTATGTGGGGAAGAGAAACCGAAAAGCAACCCACCTCGTTTAACAGCGATGGAAACAAAAGACTTCGGTTGAGCTCAGATTGCCGGACTAAAACGGTTAGTTCCTCGCCAATTAAAACGTTTCAACTTGTTTGCCATCATTCCTAGGGGAGATTCCGGCTAAAACTGTCCCGCCAGCGGGCTGTCAAAAACTTTTTTCCACTTTAGAACCGATCTCCTTCTGAGCCAGTGACAAGGTAGCGATAAAGAAAGTCAACCTCGAGATGACAAAAAATCTGTGCTCTTCCCTGACAAGTTTGCTAGCGCTATTCAAGATCTGTGTTGTTTGGATCCAAATGGTTTCTAAGAGACACCGAGCTAAGCTTTTTGTTGTCTAAGTATGTGCCTAAACAGATTACTAACTCTAGTTCGCTGAGCTTTCGACTGTACTAACCTGAGGTGGGGGTCGGTTGTGTTTTTCACGTCGCTGTCGTCGAGCCCCATCCTCCTGGGAGGAACTTTGCGTAGACATTGCGGCTTGTCCTAATGGAGCAGCAGCCATCACTTTGATTTCAAGAACTGTGCTGAGTTCACGAGACAACTGCGATCTTGATTGCTCCACTAACTGCTGCTTCTGATGGTGGAAGAACTGAACATCTTTCCTCCACTAGTTCAACACACTAATTGAAAACGGAAAATTCATCGAGTAAAGGAAGTTTTAAGCTCATATCTTTATTCCCAGAACAATTGCCACACCTAGGAATCATGGTCAATTAGTTAAATGTCTTCTGCCTTTACCATTAAGTGATCTTGAACTTTAAACTAGGGAAATTCAACAGATGACTGTAAACAACTACCCAGTCTTTCACGGCGTAATGGCAGTCACTAACCCATTTAATTTCATAATACGAACTTGATAATAACTAGCTACTGGTCGTAAAATCAAGTTAAAGAAACATTTGGTTATAATGCTCAGTTTCTTTGCAATTCGGTCGCTCAGTCACTCACTCAACCTCCGACGTGCTGTTTAGCACATTCGGGTGGAAGTTGACTCAACAAATTTGCAGGAATCGAGGAACTGAAGGTTATCAAGCATAAATCCGTCAGTCACGCCTGATGGATGTACATTTAAATAACAAATATACGCGTGTGGTGGCGAAATGTTAAAATTCTATGTACAACCTTTAATTTCCCAGCTTCTTGGTAATTATCTTTAAGCTTACGGGCTTGAGCCACTATCACACTTCCAAGTTCACTTCCAATCCTTCGCGTTGCATAATACTGGTCTCCGTGATTCATTGCTTCGTCATGTGTTCAATTAGCCGCAACTTACACAATATGTTACCTACGATATTTTGCATCTAAATTATATTGCTCGTCAGATAACATTCGCTACATGCTTCGCTACATGCGGGTTGTGTATTTTTCTAAATTGTAACATTTGAGATTATTGAAATAAATAATGATGATAAGAAGAATAATAATAATTAAAACTTATATAGCGCAATTTTCCATGACGTACATGATCAAATGCGCTCAAATAATGATGATAATATCGTTACGATTATTTCAACAATTTACACAAACTTGCATTTAGTTGTACCAGAACACGATCCCTCAACATAAAAAAAAAAATGATTACCATTACGCAATATTTCAACCAAAATTCAGGAGGCGCTGTCCTGGTTTTTTTTGGCAAAACATGCCCAGTTATCTGCAGAATAACTGATTTCGAGCTGATACTGTCGACGTCAGGGTGCTTTTTTTAAAATAATTTTATTTTGCAATACACTTAAATTACCTACATTAAAAAAAGTACATTACTTGCAAGCTACAACTGGGCATAAAATACAATATAAACATTACCTATAATACTACAACTATTGACAAATACTAACGTCACTTAAAAAAAATTAAAATTACCGATTTTATAATTACAGTTACAGTCATATAAACTGATCAGTGCTGAAAAACATATTACGGTAAAGTAATTCTTGCTTTTAACTACAAAAGCTAAAGGCTTTTAATTTTAAACTACTGTTTCACTATCAAATGAGAGATGAAAGAGGCTCCAGAGACAATTTACGAGACATTAAAGGAGGTTGTGTAGGAAGAGAAAAATTCTAAACTGGGTGCCCTATCTCAGTCGTATTCGACAAATCCAGATGAAATATCTTGGGATTAAAAAATAGGGATGGATTTGTTTGTTTTTGAATGCATTGGATCTCAAACCAATTATGATGGATAAAGTAAGGTCCGTATCCGGTATTGTTGCAAATTGTTTGTCATTTATCAAGCATCGCTTAAAATTTTGCCAAAAGACCTGATGTCATGGTGCAAAACCCGCCAAAACAGGTGAGTTAAGTTCTGTACTTCAGCTTCACAAAAGGTGCACATGTCGTTATTTTTAATACCTGTTTTCCTTAGAAAATCATTTGTTGTTAGTCGCCTAAGTAATAGTTTGAAATGAAAAGTGATTAATTTAGTTATTTTAGTACAATTGACAGGAAGTCGTTAAACTGACTTCCTGTCAATTGTTTCGTCGTTTTCAAGCTCGTAGTCATTTTTCTTGACTTCGGGTAGGACGCTGTTGTTCAATAGGAACTAGACTCTCGTAAGCTACTTCGTTGGCCTTTTCAGTTTTTAAGAACCTTTCATGAAAATCTTCACAGTTTTTGTTCCTCCTTAGAAGACAAACTCTGCTAATTGTTTTAGAGATTTTAATGCCGATATAAGGCCTTGAAAAGCAAGGAAATTAGATTTCATGTCGAAGCGTTCTATTGCCAGCGTGCACTACTGCCAGAGTGCTACTTAATGATGACTTAGTGATTTCAAATTAGCCGAGAGCATAGCGCAAGGGTGAAGTAGACCGCCTAGAATAGCCGTGCTAACTGCGGGCTACAAAGGCCCTTCTTACAGATTGTAAAAAAAAGTCAATGTTGTTGTTGTTGTTAATTGAGTCAATAACAGTATGCGAGAAACTCAGGAATTAAAGATTTAATGCAAGAGCACATACCATGTTTTCATCTGTATGAAAGTCATTGGACCAGTTAATTTCGTCCATGTTTATTTTCAATCTGGACCAGTCAACCTGTTCACTTAAGAAATTTTCCTTGATGTTGATTGGCTAGCATGGGCTAGGTAGTTAAAGTTTATTGGTTAATGGCGTGACGTGCTTAGGTTTTATATTATTTGCTGTTTAACTGTCCGATTTGGCCTTTCCAATTACAAGTGTTTGTAATCGGACAGGTCAAATCAAACAGTGTGGACCTGAAAAAGCCAATTAAGCCACAAATAAGAACCAATCATATTTGAGCTCGTTGATATTAACACAATTATAATGATAATAATAATACATTTGTATGACGCAAACTTCCTTGCAATGTTCAGTCGGGCATAAAAATAACCTTGCACAACATTGAATATTTAAGGACGTTTGCGCGAAAATTTTCTACTCGATAGATTTTTTTTAAACTTCTACTGCGGACAGATAATGATTTACTTGTTTCAGAAATGAAATAAAAATTGCGGGTTACCGACTTCGTTTCAGGGATAAGGCGTGTGCAAAAAAAAAGTCTGATTTTGATAAATTGGTGCGCGTAATTCAGCATGGTCTCCAGGGTTTTTAGAATAAAATTTTTAGAATTTTTAGAATTAAAGATAAGTCAACAGAGGCAAACTATCCTAATGATATTTTGTATAAGTGAATCTGTGGTGTTAATAATTTCAAATATTGCCATCATTTTCACAAACCTTAACCCTTAAAGAGGCATTTGAAACTGCCGCACAACTAAACGGAGAGGTCAAATGAACGGAATTTGATGGAGTGTTTTGCAAAAAATTCAAACTTCTACTCCATAGATTTTCTTCATTCTTTCGCAAAACGTAGAAAATCGGTAGAGAAAATGACCCATCGAAAGAAAACTAGAGGCCACCGAACGTCCATGATCGTTAAATCCACGCAAAGTTGTAGCAATGGCCATTTGTCCTATTATTGTCCACTTTACTACTTAGCGCGCGCGCCCGATGCATGACGTGGCGTGTGAATTTCGTGCGCAGTAAGGATGCGCAGAAACAATTAGCGCGAACGTCCTTAAGGTGGCTTGATTGAATTTTTCAATAGTGACACCTTCCAACTTTAAATATAAATTACAACGTACTAAAACATAATACAGAAGATTGATATCTACACTCTTGCTGGAGTGCAGTGTATTTTATCGAGATCGGAGTTACCATAGCAACGCAATGACGTCAATGCTGTTTTTATTCACGGTCGACTTTGTTGAAATCTAGAGGTTTTCTGTCTAAACTGCCTACTGTACTTGTAGTTTAGATGGCGTGCCTAATGTGCAGCGAGTTTAAACAAATTCTATGAGAGCGATTTCGAGAAATCCTCGGCTGAAGTTTTCGACAGTTGACATGAAACAAATCTAATCGAGTCGCTCTAGTATATGTTCGCCGGGCTTACGGGAAGCGCATTTGGAGCGCATGTTATTTTTATACACATGAACCACATTTCCTGAAGAGTTTAACAAAATCGCTTCATTTGATTTCGAAAAATATGAACTTAAATAAGGTGGCTATTTTGCTTTTTTGTCAAAACTTGGCTATGTTTTTACACTGAGGCGAATATTAAAAAAGTGGTCGATGAATTTCTTTGAAACTTGGTGATCCTATAGTTAAATTACCATTTTCGAAGACCTCTTAGTTTCAAGGTAATTGAAATAGCGCAAGGTGGTCAAACATTGATATCATATCGCTCAAATTTTGCTTTCACATTTTCGGCGCCTGCTAATTATTTTTGTTGGTCGCTTTTTTGTCTCATTATGCATGCCCATTGTTAAGAATGGTGAGTTCACGAGACAACTGCGATCTTGATTGCTCCACTAACTGCTGCTTCTGATGGTAGAAGAACTGAACATCTTTCCTCCACTAGCTCAACACACTAATTGAAAGCGGAAAATTCGTCGAGTACAGGAAGTTTTAAGCTCATATCGTTACCGGAACAATTGCCACACCTAGGAATCATGGTCAATTAGTTAAATGGTCAATTAGTTAAATGTCTTCTGCCTTATCCATTAAATGAACTTGAACTTTAAACAAGGAAAATTAAACAGATGAATGTAAACAACTACCCAGTCTTTCACTGCGTAACGGACCCATTCAATTTTATAAAACGAATTTGATAATAACTAGCGACTCGTCGTAAAATCAAGTTAAAGAGAATTTTGGTTATAATGCTAAGTCTCTCTGCAATTCGGTCGCTTAGTCACTCAGTCATCCTCCGTCGTGCTGTTTAGCACATTCCGGTGGAAGTTAACGCGGCAAATTTGCATGAATCGAGGAACTGAAGGTTATCAAGCATAAATCCGTCAGTCACGCCTGGTGGATGTGCATTTAAATAACAAATATATGCATGTGGCTGGCGAAATGTTAAAATTCTATGTACAACCTTTAATTTCCCAGCTTCTTGGTCATTATCTTTAAGCTTACGGGCTTGAGCCACTATCACACTTCCAAGTTCACTTCCAGTCGTTCGCGTTGCATAATACCGGTCTCCGTGATTGATTGCTTCGTCATGTGTTCAATTAGCCGCAAATCACACAATATGTTATTTACGATATTTTGCATTTAAATTATATTGCTTGTCCGATAACGTGATAAGTAAACTTTGTTATTACAAGTTATTCCTTTGCCTCGATCAGCTTCGCTACATGCGGGTTGTGTATTTTTCTAAATTGTAACATTTGAAATTATTGAAATAAATGATGATGATAATAACAATAATAATAATTAAAACTTATATATCGCAATTNTTTGTTTCGCGTGGTTAAAACTCAACGGTTCGGCTTCAGGTTGCACTAACGATTTTTTCAGTTATGCTTGGTGATTAAATGATCAGCTCCAAGAGTAAATTATAGTTGAAATACTGTAGACAAAATGTCTCGGTAAAGATTACCGTTTGAATAGTGTGATAAAACTCTGATTGCATGATTTGTAACTCAGAACAATCGAGATTAGTTGTTGCCGTTTCCTAATGCTGCAAACCATTTTAAGAAAAAAAAACGAATGCATGTTTTCTGCATTGTCGTAATTCGACACTGTTAAAGAGAGTTGCTGTATCAAATGATTTGTTTTTATGTGGGGAAGAGAAACCGAAAAGCAACCCACCTCGTTTAACAGCGATGGAAACAAAAGACTTCGGTTGAGCTCAGATTGCCGGACTAAAACGGTTAGTTCCTCGCCAATTAAAACGTTTCAACTTGTTTGCCATCATTCCTAGGGGAGATTCCGGCTAAAACTGT